AGGATTTTGAGAGGGGGAGATTATCCTGATTACCCAGGTGATCCCTAAATGTAATCACAAGTGTCCTTATAAGAAGAGGGCAGAGATTTTACTACAAAGGCAGGCAACGTATCCACACTGAAGTGAGAGACTATGCTGTAAACTTTGAAGAATCCCTTTCTCATTAAAACCCTGAGATTCATAGTGTTCTCCAACCTCTGCCATATAAACACCCACCGGGTCCTCTCTAGTGCAGGGAACCACATGAAAGAAACATGTTGGTAGCCCAGGGGAAGAGTCTTGAAAGGCTATTGAGCCAGCCATGTCCATCCTTACCAATTTTCATTTTTCTCTGTTATTTCCTGGTCCAGGTCAGCAAACAGCATAGCAATGGGGAAAATCCTGACTTTCACCTTAGAAAACTGCAAAACTACTAGTTACATGTTCGGAAGAAAACGGCCTTAATTCTTTTAAGAATTGGAGAGGATTAGCATTCTTCCTAATTGGCCTTGGTAAATCCCCCCCCCACACACACTATAGCTGCAAAATGAGATTATACAAAATGATACTATCATCTCTACAAGAAACTGAAAAGTCCAATAACATACTCCATTCTGCTAGTATTTAATGTGGCAATAAAATAATATACTTTAAAAGCCCATTTTATCCCACAAACTCTAGAAGTATGTATGTACTCTTCCATTTCTCATCTGCCTGAGATTGTACAAGCAATTAAACTGGCTCCTTTATGCCTCAGAATTTTTCACATAACACACGCACTGTAAGTCTGATTTTTTGTTTATTTTTTCCATAATAAAAAAGAAAACAAAGTTGCCCCTATCTGCTTTAAGGTTATTAATAGCTTATAAAAAAAGTAATTAGCAGAAAAATAATTATGCTCTAAATCTAATACTAATCTCTGCCCCTCCTTGGCCCCCACAACTTTAGTTAATAAGCTTAATTCACAAACTGATCTTTCTCAACAGCTATGCCCTAGAAAATGTAAGGCTTGTCCCAGAAAACTAAAATTTCTGTTAAGTCCAAGGCTGTTTTCAAGTATTCGAAAGACCCTACCAAATGATGTGGGTCTTGCCCTCCAGTTGAAGTTGATACGAATTGACTAGTTGTTGTTTCTAACCAAATCACTCTGCCTTATAGTAAGGGTTTCATTTTCATAACTAAACCACAAACTGAAACAGGTTTCAAACCTTATACTTCCTTACAAACATCCAAAAGTATGCTCCTAAGCACATTCCAAACAGAAATTCAAACTAGAGAAACTAAACTTTTAGAACTCCAAATCCACACTAATGCTATTTTTTAGGTTTCATTCTACTTCCTAAACTACAACATACAATAGAAACTCCATAAATGTAGTCAAGTAACATAAGACACTGAAAAAGATAAAAAAGAGAATGGGTTCTTCAGGATTCAGTAAGAGCCCATTAAGAAATTCTTTACATACTATATACATCTGACTTTCCCTACACTTGTATTTTTTCTTTGCAATTGTTATATATTCAACATACAACTTTGAAGAAAACCACTAAGAAGTCTCCAGCCCCCTCTCATACTTTATAGGATAAGACTGTCTTTCCTCTTGCTCCCAGGCAGCTCCCAGGCAAGCATACACCAGTGCTTGTTTTATGCTTCAGTTGGATTTTTACATATGATTCAATGTAGCTACAGAAGAGAAAAAAAAAAAAAACAACTAAAAATAAATGAAGCTAAAAGTGGCAATCTCATGCCATAGAAGTGAAGTTCAAGGCTAAATCAGTTTTATAGACCTGAGCTCAATACTGACAATCAGCAGAAAACGGAGCTGAGCAGATTTAGAAGGGTCAATGTGTGACAGTCATGATTCATTTTATAAGAGGGCCCAATCTAATCTGAACATTAGTGTTAATAAAATACAAAAATTCACTCTGCAGCTACTGTGAAGACATATTACATGATACTGGGTTCTCCAATTGTACAACTTTTTTATCTGTGAGATGATTTCCAGAAGCACAACTCCCACCTATAGTGAACATTGACCATGCCCGTATAATCTGTGTTGTTCAATTTCCCCATCAAGAAATGGTGAAACAATACCAATCTCACGCCTCTCACGGATACACACACATACACAAACACTCCCCTTTGGGACTGTTCTGAACATAAGTTGGCTCACACATCTTTTCTCTGGGGGCTCATTTTCGCTCTCTGGACAAGTATTTCTTTGCTTTCCAAGAACTATTTTCCTGATGCAATAGCCCCATCTCTACGAAGGATCATGATGCAGTGCAAAGGCCCATACAACTAAAACCTGATGGTTATTTAACCAGTCTGAGTATCAGTTATCTTCTCTGTAAAACAAGACCAATAGTAGTACCCTCATCAACTAAGATGCATTTAAAGTATCATGTACATGGCAGGTCACCCCATCAAATCTGGCACCTGCACGGACTACAGAAAAACAGAATACCCCTAATGTAGTCTACCCACAGTCCTCCCTTGTAGATGGGAGTGTAGGGACTTACATAATCTGTATCCCTAAGAGATGGTTATGCCTCTTACTATGAGCTTAGTATAACCACTATAAAGAGATCAAAAGGCAGATAAAATCTCCTGAAATTCTCAGCATAAAATTAGTCCGGCCAAATGGAATCCAGTTATTCAGCTTCTTCAATCCTACAGCCTCAATAGTTGATTGTTGGGTTAGCAGTCTGAGTCTTCCTGGGTTAACTTGTTACCAGAAATGCAATTCCTCTGCAACATTCTCCTGATTCCAGTGGCAAAAGGGAAAACCTTATCTGGGGGAGGCCAGAAAAGAACTGGTGTTTAGAGTATTCTAGTATCAGGCTTGTATCCTCCAACTGAGACTGACAGTGATGGTGAGTGTGTAGCCAGCAGCCTGCCGCATGTTTACTGTGGTCTGTTAAAGAAGTCCTCACTTTGTGAAAAGATGTTACAAAAATCATGGAAAAAAAAAAAAAAAAGTCCTTACCTTACCCTTAATTCCCAGTTGTGAACATCAAACATCCCTATTTCAATCACTGAATTGTTCTACCTCTCAGCAACAAAATGCCCTAAGTTGTTACACTGAATTCTTTTATAATTTAATTACCTATTGATGCCAGAACACTGAATTAAATTAATTAGGAGGCATGGCTTGAAAGTCATGCTCAATTTAACAGCAGATAAAGAGTCCACAGTGTTCTCAAGATTAAGAAACTATTTTCTTTCTATGCTTACATTTTTGGGTTTTCTCTGACCCTTCAGCAGTGTTTTATGCCCAGCTGTGTACTAATGACCCAGACTATTACCAGTTCTTTAAGGTGTGATGGGAAATCGCAGGTTCATTTTTCCAGGACATTCCCAACTGAGCCATAATAAAGGAATTTAGGAAAACTGATGATCTCTTCAAATAGCTGCCTCAGGCAGAAGTAATTATCAATAAAGGGAACAGTGGAGCCAGAGAGGGAGATGGTGAAGAATAACCCAATCAGAAGAGGGACGACAAGAAAACACTAAAAGTGAGTAAATCCCTTCATATGGATTTTAAACAATTGTTTCAAAAAGATACAAGGCAGGCTAGGCACTAAAAAGCAAGCAGCTCCACTACTCTAATAGATGCAAAGTGCCTGGAACACAACAATGCTCAACGAGTGGATGTAGGCGGATGAATGCAAGAAGGAATAAAAGAAGTCGACTCCTGTTCTTCAGGGAATAACATACCTGATGGATACCATGAAAGATCTTAAGCTTAGATGGTTTTCTCACAACATCCAGCTCATTTTTAGACTACCTTCTTCAAGGTAACCTTCTTAAAGGTTAACTAATTTATGGTCAGAAAGCCAACATAACATTAGAATGATCAGTCTCGTGGGCCAAAAATGTACATAATGTATCTAAAAGCTAAGTGAAAACTGAAGATCCCCTGCATCACTGCGCTTTCTCATCAATGGCAGTTTTTATTTTTTGGTTTGGTTTTTGTTTTTTACTCAATAGAAGCCACATTTAGGGACAAACTAAGTTTTACCTATTATCAAAATATAGTCAAAAGAACCTCTCTACACTGCAAGCTCATAGAGGCCATGGGTAGCAGTGCCTCTGAAACCCTGTCAAAGTCTGCTGGGAGCAGGGCTTAATGTGGGCTAAATGACTAATAACGCCCTCAAGAGCTTGTTTTTAAAAAAAAAAAAAAAAAAGTGTCTGAAGGCCAGGCGCTGGTGGCTCAGGCTGGTCACTCACAGCACTTTGGGAGGCCAAGGCGGGCGGATCAACTGAGGTCAGGAGTTGGAGACCAGCCTGGACAGCATGGTGAAACCCCATCTCTACTAAAAATACAAAAATTAGCCGGGCATGGTGGCACGTGCCTGTAATCCCAGCTACTCGGGAGGCAGAGGCTGCAGAGAGTCGAGATCCAGCCACCGCACTCCAGTCCGGGCGACAGACAGAGACTCCGTCTAAAAAAAGAAAAGTATCAGAAAGCAATCAACTTAACAGAATGCAGATAAAGTTAAGGTTGAGCACTGACTAAACTAAAATGTTCAGTCAACAAGCGTTTACCAACTACGTACCATGTGTCTGCCCTCGTGCAACTTAAGATGTCCAAATACCCATGTAGAGTTAAAACTGGGGAGTGCTCTCGAGGGCCTAGGGCATAGTGCTTAGCAGGGACACAGAACGCCAAGGGGGCGTCGGCACAGGCTTCTTTCCAGGGTGAGATCTGAAGGGCGGGGGGCGGGGGGGGGGGCCTGGGGCCGCGCACCGCAGAGGCCGGCGGCTCAGGGCAGGACCCGCGACAGAGGCCCCAGGGAGCGACGCCGCTCTCTCCGGGTTTCTGGGATCTCCTCACACTCCCGCCCGCTGCGACACCACTCCGGCCTCCAGACGTGTCACTCCATCATTCAACTAACTCGGTCCCCAAACGTGAGCCCAGGCGGAGCGCCCAGGCTCTGTGGTGGGGAGGAGCCGCAGAGAGAACGCGGACGGCCCCTGAGGGCACCCTGTCTCTCGCGCGCGGGGGTAGTCACCTGAGCGGCTCAGCACCTCCCACTCGTGGGGCCCGCAGAAAATCGCGGCCAGGGCCGAGAGCTCCTCCTGCACCGGTTCCGCCATGACTGTGGGCCCAGCCACTTCAGCGCTTCCCCTTCCGCCGCTGCCGCCGCAGCCGCCGCAGCCGCCGCAGCCTCCACCCGCCAGGAGCAACACCGCTCGCGGCCACCCGGGGGCGCCCCGCGCCTCCGCAGCCGGGCGGATCAGGGGCGGGGCGAGACGGGTCGAGGGCTGAGCGAAACGGGACGGGGGTGGGGCGAGACGGGGAGGGCCCTTAAAAGTTCCGCCCAGAAGCGCCTGCTCATTAACGACTGACGCGAAGCTCAGCTCCTCGTTTTGGGGGTTTTCTTGGAAGCCAAGGTCCAAATCCTCAGTCTGCAACCTAGGCTACCGCCCAGCTTACCCGCGGCTCTTCTGAGTAAAGGGAGACCTCCCAGCAAAGCCTGAATAACCTCTAAATGTAGCTGCAGGCTTCGAACCCTGACCGTCCCCTCCCAGCCTTGGGCTGCTGGGGTGGGGATGAACTGGGCGAAAGACACTTGAGAGTTAGGAAGAAACAAACAAGCAGGGAAGTGACCGGGAGACGAGGTGAGACCTTGCCTGGTTCCGGTTTGAACTGAGTGTTGGAGAAAACCACAGTTAACAAAACAAGCAGAATTCTCCGCCCCCTGGAGCTGTTAGCAACCCAGGCATCTGATGCCTGCCCAACTGGTACTGGCGCCGGAACTCGACAAGGTCGGGATTCCGGGGCCTCTTTCTCCTCTCGTGTGCAAAAGGGGAGGATCAGGACCTGCCAGTTCTGGCTTCAGGATTTTGACTGGACAGACCTGGACCTCTTGGGAACTGTGCGCCAAAGTCCTGGGAGCAAAGTCGTAACGCTCCTCGTTTGTCTCCTGCCTTCACGGGGGACAGCCCTGCTGAAAGCGGCCAGTGGGAATCCTTGGCCACTGAGGAGGATATGAGTCCAGAGTGTAAACGCTAGCTTTTCAGTGTTTTAGATTTTGTGATATTCAATGCATACAATACAATGTGACTCTTGAAGCTTAATAATGAAATTATCATTCTTGAGTCCAGCTCCTAAATTTTAAAATGTGACCAATACCAATATGGTAACAGGATGAGCAATCCACTCTGTTTTGATTATAGTGAACAAGATTACAATACTTATCTGCAGTAGGTCTGTCTCTAGGATGTTTGCCTGGTCTTTTTGCTTTTCAAGTAACAATCTAAAATTTGGCAGCCCCCAAAAGCAGCTGGTCTTGCTCATGGAGTTCTCACAACTTTTGTTTGTATGAGAAATCTCATTTCATGAGATAAATCAGAGCATTTCGATGGTTATGCAGTGCCTCCTGTCATTGACATACAGAAGTCATGACAAAGCTGGCTGATTTTAAGACCCTGCATCCGTTCACCATTACCATTCCCACTGTTGGTTAAAAAAAAAAAAAAAAAGGAATTTGATAAAGGAAAAGATACGGGCTTCCTGGAACAGAAAGGAAACCTAACAAGATGGACTGCAGGGAAAATGCTTTTCAGAAGATGCCATGGGATTTCAGTGACCCCAAGTAATTAGCACATAATTGGGAAGATAAAGTCTTATTTAAACTCAGAGTTCTCTCTGATATGGCCAATTGGCTTAATGAAAATTTAAAAAAAAAAAAAAAAAAACCTCCTTTATTTCCAAAATAACAGACTTTCTAGCCGTTCAGTATGTTCATAGTTCACTGCTAAAGAGATTGAACGAAAGAATAAATGTTTAATTTAAAACATCACTAAGTTAATTTGAAGTACAGTGTTACTATTAAAAGTCAAACAATTTGGTTTTCGACTTATTTATTGAAAATAATCTATAAAATAGGCCGGGCACAGTGGCTTACGCCTGTAATCCCAGCACTTTGGGAGGCCGAGGGACCTCCTGACCAACATGGTGAAACCCCATCTCTGCTAAAATACAAAAATTAGGCCAGGCATGGTGGCTCATGCCTGCAATCCCAACACTTTGGGAGGCTGAGGAGGATGGATCACCTGAGGTCAGGAGTTGGAGACCAGCCTGACCAACACGGTGAAACTCCATCTCTACTAATAATACAAAAATTAGCTAGGTGTGGTGATGGGCACCTGTAGTCCCAGCTACTCAGAGGCTGAGACAAGAGAATTGCTTGAACATGGGAGGCAGAGGATTGCTTGAACATGGGAGCCAAGATCACGCCACTGCACTCCAGCCTAGGCGACTGAGCAAGACTCCATCTAAAAAAAAATTTTAAATATTCAAATAGTTTTTACTTATTTTTAATTTTCCAAATTCACTGTAAGTGAGATGAGTGAAATAACATGAACAGCAAAATTACAGCTTTTGGAAGGATTAGGAGGCAGTTGCTGAAGCCCACTGTCAGCAAGAGGTCTGTGAAAATTGAAGAGTACATCAATCAATTATTTAAAATTTTGTCAACAGGTTTCTTCTTTGCTCTTCCTTTCTCAGTTGATTTCTTAACCTGCGTTTCATACTTCATTTAGCATGTTTAAATAAAAAAGAAGTCAATGTGAATGTCTTTTAAATTGACACTATCCTAAGGCACTGAAGTCCCATGAATAAGTTTCTGCATTCTGACATTTGGAAATAATCATCTCAGAGACAGCATAATGTCAGCTTGATATTTCTTGCACAGTGAAAATATCAGCTACATGTCAAATCTCTAAAGCCTACCTTAATGTAATAAGTTTTCTTGTATTCACCGGCTACTGAAAATTCAAAATATTTAAATGTAGGATGAATGTCTCCAGTTAGAGCACTATCTCCATCTCTGTCTCTCCCTTGCATACACAGAAGTCTATGATTTGTTAGAACAATATTATTTTTACATGCATATTTTCTAAATAGTTGCTTCCCCAAGACTATAAGGGGAAACGGTTAAAACCTATCAGCTTCAATTAAAACCACTAACCCAGAAGATAGTTCTTTTCGTTTTGGGGGGGAACAGTTCTACTTACTTTCTCATGAGTAGTATGTAGATTTGCTCAACTCTGAGTTTGAAATCTTAAATCAAAATTCACATGAGCATAGAAATGAGAATGCACAATATCAAGAATATTCGGAGAGGTTAAGTGTTGTGTCACAAAAAGGTGAGGATCCTAAGACTGGAATGGAGTGGAGTGTGATAAGAAAAAATATCAAATCAGCCGGGTGCAGTGGCTCACACTTGTAATCCCAGCACTTCGGGAGGCTGAGGTGGGTGGATCACCTGAGGCTGGGAGTTCGACACCAGCCTGACTAACAAGGAAAAACTCCGTCTCTACTAAAAATACAAAAATAGCTGGGTGTGGTAGTGCACGCCGGTAATCCCAGCTACTTGGGAGGCTGAGGTAGGAGAATTGCTTGAACCCGGGAGGCGGAGGTTGCAGTGAGCCGAGATCGTGCCATCGCACGCCAGCCTGGGCAACAAGAGGGAAACTCTGTCTCAAAAAAAAAAAAGAAAGAAAAAATATATATCAAATTAAAACTGAGAAAAATAAAAGTGCTTTCGTGAGCTACCAAACAAACAAAAGAGGACTTAAATGCCAGCTTTCTAAATAAATCTGAACTCCAAGAAGCTGTGCTACTGGTTCTGTCTAAAGAGTTTCTGCATTCGCATACTCATTTCACAAAATGTTCGTGGAGACTCACTGACTGTCGGCCTGGCTCTGCAGGCTGTGTGGAGAGGTTAGAGATGGAAACAAGTCCATGTTTCCAGTGACTACAGCCGTTGGTCTAGACGAGTAAACACAATATGCAACAATTACAAGTTCTTCCACCAAGCTGAGGGTGCAAGAATTATCACATTTCCTTAGCGGTCTGAAGTTCTATATTATGATGTAGGTTAAAGTAACAGAGTGGAAGTAGCACCCAATTTCCCAGAGGAGGAATAATTTGGAAATGCTCAGGAACACGGTAGGCCTTCAAAAGTACACAAAGTCTGGGATGTTAACTGGTCATAGTTCTTTTGTTCTGGTACAGTATACAGATCATAAATTTATGTTTCATCATATCATAATAACAAAAGCAAATAAAATCTATGAGAATTTGCCACTGACTCTGTGATCAGACCCTTGTAAGATCTGCCTCCATCATGCCCAAGTAATCTGCACTCCCTCCAAAATACTGGCTGCACTCTGCCATGCTTGATTTCTATGCATGAATGATATCAAGACACTTCCAGCTTGTTTATGGGAACCCACCCAAATGGCCCAAATCCACTGATACAAAAGCTCAATGCCTTCTCGATGTTATAAAAACAAGTCACTGGTATCATTAGGGTTTTTGAGTTTTCCTAGTTAGAGTAGTATCCGATATTTAATTTTGGTGACTACTATAAATGGATTCTTCTTATTCATTATATCCTCCCATTGTATTACTACTGTAGCCAGTTTTTATTATGTAAAAGAGGGTTGAGGATTATGTGACTTTTAAAATGTCCCTTTATCCAAACTCATAAAGGGACTATCCATGAGTAAACTCTGCCATTTTAGCTCAAGTGATTGAAAATGGAAAGAGAGATGTATATCAAAAAACCACAGGTATAATTGGGAAAATTAGACCTGGATTTCCTTTTTAAAAAAATATACTGGAAGGGAAGAAGGTAGGAAGGGAAAGAGAGAAAGAAAAAAGAGGAGGGAGGAAGAAGGGTCAGGGGAAAAGGGAGGATAAACAGGAAATGAAAAGGATGATTTTTATGAGGCAAAAGAAGCCATGAGTTAAGAAATTTGTCTTTATGTCAGGAAAAATTAAAACGATTGACTTGCCTGCTTCTTAAATAAAGAAGTCTGAAATTTGATTTAATAACAATAAGAGATCTGAAATTTTATTCAAAATAATATAGGATAGGGAAACAGGCTACCGTGTGAATGGGGCAGAAGCTGATCATAGGTTAATGATTGATGGGGTGGAGTGATGGATACATAAAGATTCAGTATCACATTCTCTCTACATTTGTATATTTCATATTCTCTTTAATAAATGTTAATTTTTAAACTGTGTTCAGTAGATAATACATCAGGCTATTTGAGTTTTGCATAATGCTCAATTAAGGGAAAATAGACAAAAAACAAAGGGATAAAATAGGAGGGAAGAAACAAGAAAACCAGGGTCAAACAGAGTGAATAGAGTTGGTGGATGATATTAAGAGATGGAAGAAGACAGGTTCTAAAGTGGTATGTTTAACAGATGTATGATTTAGGATTAGTTCAGGTGAAAAAAGCACAGAGCCTAACCGTGCAGTGGCTTTAACAAGATACAATTGTTTTTCTCTTAAACATTCAAGTCTGAAGCTAAGCAGAGCTTTGGTGCTCCCCAGTGTCAGGATACATGTTCCTTCTATTTTGTGGCTCTGCTCTGCACAGATTTTATTCCCATGGTTATGCTGTGGTCCGGGGTCCCTATTGGAGCTCCAGCTACCAGTCAGAAGAATGGGATTCAGTCCAATTTCATTGTCTAGAACTCAGTCCCCATGACTGCTGCCAGTTAAAAGGGAGCTTGAAAAGTTGGTTTTAATCTGAGAGGTCCTGTACTCAGCTTAAAATGGAGGAAGAAATGAAGTATTATTATTATTCCTTTCTTATTACAGAGAAGGGAGAAACACCATTGGGAGACAGCTGTTAGTCCAACCGCCTCAAGGTGAGTGTGGGTCAAGAGATTAAATTGCCACGTAAGTC